TTATTCTAATTATTAAATTGGTGAGTGACAGTGGAGCGGTTACAAAAGGGGGCCTATTTCTGAGTGGGCTGCCAGAATGCACCCTAATCTGTTAATCTGAAGGTTGCAGCTGTCTGCGTATAAATGTTAGGAATTTGGCACGCTCAGCGCCCTACATCGTACCAATGACCTGGGTAGACAGGCCGTTGCATCAGCCGGCAACTGATCCACGGGATTTCCCCTCCCCACTGCATACAGGGCAAGACGTCCGAAATAACCAGAGTGCACTAGCGTACCGTTCTTCCTTCCTGAATCCAGACTATACAGCGTCGGGTGGTACGGTGACTGATAAGCTGGAAAGGATTCGGAAGGAGCAGGCCATGGCCTCAGCTACCAAATCAGCATTTGCCTGGCGGGAATGAGGAAAGTCACGAATAGCCTCAGAAAAGTTGGTCGGTACCATGGTCGAGATTCGAACCAAGGTCCACTAGGATGAGTTTAGAGCGTTGTCGCTACACCGGGCTGCTCGGCGAATGGGGCCCCGTGCTGGCTGTGTGCATATATAAAGTAAACGCTCGTTAATCCGGATCGAAACAAAATATTGAAGTTCTGTTCACAGCTGAGTACACATGGGATTTCGGAACAAGAGGACTTTCAGACTGCGCTGAGGGCAGCTGGAGAGACTGAAACCACGCACGAAAATATTCAAGCTTGGCTAGAGCTTGATCAAGGAGACCCTGTTGACAGAGGAAGAAATTAATAGTGATATTTTTATTTATTTTCACCAGCACTACCTATATTACTAAATTTTACATTTATTTGTTTTCTAAGTTTTCTTTTTGTCTTTTAGGGCTATCTTTTGCTTCATTAATCCGGATTATCGGCTAATTCGGATGCCCCCCAATTAATCCGGATTTGCGAGTGTTTACTGAATATGTCTCGTTTGCTTCAGAGAGAAAAAAAAATGACGAATTCCCACAAAACTCAGTATGAGCGCTATGCTGTCAGAGGCCACCTAAACGTCGTGATCTTCAAGATCATGTTCCCGAAACGCTGTGCTTGAAGAAACTTCAGACCATGGACAATGCCCCAACCACCAGTCATATTTATTGTATTATTGTCAGAAATATATGTGGATGTATACATCCACTCCCCCCATACGCCTTCATGGCGTAGTGCTTAATTAGTTAAGCACACGGACAACTTTACCTTTTATCTCTGTCAGAAATATTTAGACCTGGCTTAGTATGCAAGTGTTACGTCGCTTGATCCATGGCCCCCAGCGACTTTGGGGGGAGGCTGACCATGAATAGGCAGACGCGCAGAAGTGTTCAGACAATCACGAGAAACACATAAATACGCTGTGTTGGAGAACTGCAGAGATTTTTAATGTTAACGTGGGTGATACATATTCACAGAGTTCACTGCTTATCCATTACCGAGATAAAGATGCGAGACCCGCCAACCTGCTCACGGCAGACAGCGCAAGGAACGACCGGGCATTCAACCCGCCTGCAGCAGGGGAAGGGGGATTAGGCGGCAACCACACGAACGAACCAGAGGCCCGGGATAAAACGCGCCGTACAGCGGTTACTATATGTACCAGTTGCTTCAACATTTCTAAATCTCTTCATTTTGTCCCCACGGTGCATTAACGTGTTCCGTGTGGCTGTTAAAGACAGCCGGATATTCCTCCTCACATATCATTAACCGGTTGGTATTTATGGAGGCGCAGTGTTTCCTGTGAGGCACGGACTGAATTCAGGACTCCAGAGTGGACCAGCAGCAATGTTCTGTTCTGCTCTGGTTTCACAGGCCACTTGCGTCCCATCAATTTAAGCTCGGAGCCCCCTAACCACTTTCAAAAGACTACAATTTTACTTCACAGATACTGACCAGCCTTACGTATGTATAGTCACGTGTTTAGTGACTAGGCACGGGGTTTGAATTGCTAATTGGATTTACTGGCTTCTTACAACACGCAACAACAAGAAATTATAGCGCTATCCCTAATTCACACACTCTAAAAACCACTATAGCATGCGCTAAGTTTTCTACGTCTTCACCACGCGTTGCTACGCAACGGCTTCCAACAATGGGGGCTCCTGTGCCAGGGAGGCGACTGTCTCACAATAACCTCAGACTAGGCCTGGCTAAAGAGTCAAAGTTATTTTACATGTCAGAGTCAGAGTCAAGATTTACTTTGCGGCTGGCGGTTTGCCACCAGTCAGTTCGTCCTGATGCCAAGCCCCTTGAGGATCATGACCAAAATCTATTTGTTTTTTGCAACTGAACCCTTGCGATCATAGCCCTTATGTAACACCCTCTCTAACGATAAGATGGGTTTGTCTCTTATGAATAGGCTTGGCCTTTCGTCAAGTGTACATTTCGCACTTATAGCGTGTTACTGGAAATTCTTCCTTGTGCACTATACACAAGTGTAGCCTTTGGGAAGCAGATCATGCCTAGCGTAGGTATCTTATGCTACAACGGCAGTTTAGTCACTTGAACGGTCGTAAGCTTGACCACCGCCAAGTTTAAGCCTCTTATATATTTTCTGTGTCTGGCTTCGCCATGTTCTATACTGCGAACATGTTCATTCTCATGAGTTTGTGTGACTTCTATTTCTTGCCTACAGAACTTTGTTATATAATCGTATACATACGGAAGGTTAAAAGTCGTGTGCAAATTATGGACCGGTGTGCACCTTGGAAAATTTGCAATTGCGGGGAAAACCTTGTTTTGCAGGCGCTGCAATTATATGAGGCAGGTGTCTGCTGCTAATTCCCTGGCGGACAAGCGTAAGGCACTGCTGATCTGAGCCGTGCCTTATGAACTGTTAGTTTAATGGTGGCACTTAAACACTCACTTTTAATAGGGAGCAGATTCTGATAAATGTTCCGAAAGCCTTGGCTTCAATCATTTCTGTGTGCAGTCTCCGTGTAAGCCTCCTATCGAAGATTACACTGAGTTATTTTACATGACTGACGATGGGGATATGCCGTCCATTCAATGCAAGATGAGCCTCAGAGAGCCTACTTTACGACTGAGTCTGAATCTTACGTTACGACCGAGGGTCAGCCGGCCAGTCTGTCTTGGAATAAAGCACCCATCTGGGGCTTACGACCAGATTTTTATTACTGTCAGACAATTGAGGGTTTGTTGATGTGGGGCGCTCTCTCTGATGACAGAAAGTGTCTCGTAGTTTACAACTGCTGCTGGACCTCGCCAGCGCAGTCATTCTGGGGTCCGAGTCCCGTGCCCATATTTTACTGTCTCAGATTCGAGACTTCCCTTTTCGTCGCCTCCTACGACTCGCAGGGCTACAGTGGTGGTATTCGATTCCGCATCTGCACGGACCCACAGAGAACGCCGTTTCCAACATTTCCTCTATTTCTGCGCGTCTGTTATGGCGGTCGCGTGTTCTGGCTTCCGTATAAACGTAGTTTCAGAGCCAGTGCCTAGCAACGGACATCTTCTCTGGTTCTGAGCCCTCATGTCACACTATACACACACACGTGTAGCAACATGAGACGCTCAGACCGACGGCCGTTGCGGTTCACTGTCACTCAGCGCGCCGGGGGATCGAGCCCACAGGCAAAGTCAAGAGCTAGTCCCTTTGCTGAATCAAATCATGTGTCCATGTGACGGGCAGCGACAGGAGACCAACATGAAGTAGATTTCAGTCGGGAATGAGAAGGAAAACTGGAAACTTCAGTAGGCTACTTCGAGCCTAGTCATTTACTCCATGGGCAATCAGTTTCTTTGCCCGTGCGTTCGAAATTAAATGTAGAAAAATGAAACCTTTTGCAGAAGCTATTCTCTGCTCATCTATTTCCTAATCAATCTATGCATTAATGTACTGTTATAAGCGATGTATCGTGTTTCTGACAACGAATCAACGGTACACTACTTGGGGACGCCTCAGGCGTCCTGTGTATTGCTTAGTTGCCGGACTGGGCTGGCTATACATCCGGCAGGTCCTGAGACCGGCCACCACCCTCTGTCTTCAAGCAAATGCTGAGATGGTTCTCGAGTTCCAAGTTGCTACTGCGTGCTTCTGATGCAGCCCTCCCGGATTATTACACCCCCTTCCTCTGAAGGCCCACAAATTATTTCTTCAATTTATGCCTATCAAGCAGAAAATCAAAATTATGCATCCAATGTTTGCAATGGTTTACAGAACTTACTGTCCTCACGAGAATCAACAATTCGTTCAAGAACACCACCCAGGCTTCTGAGGGCGCTGGCTTGCTTATGTCCCCCGGTTCTCTCCGGTCAAGCAGGTCAGCCGGCGCCCCCACCTCGCCACCAACCGGTCGGTCCCATGTGAATGATGAACTTGAAAGGATTTGAAAGGCAGATGCGGTGACCCAACCGAGGTACGAGTATTATCCCGGTACCTCCATGGAGGGAATAGGGAAAACCGCGAAACAACAGCCAACGTCCAGGTAGGGATTCCAACCGAAAACCGCTACACCAACTGGCTCGAAGAACGGGGACGACATTAATAATCTATAAAGTATATTTCAACGTATTCACTTACCTGAACAGAAAGATTTCCTTGGAACGACGAACACTTCGCGTTAGAACGCCATGGCCTCCTGCAGTCTGATGATCCTATCACAAATACTGTCCACGCTGTCAAGTGTCTAACACGGCGGATACTATCACCAGGCCGGCCGGACGCACAACACAAATCATCAAAATGTTCAACTCGCTTGAGCCCTCAGGCGCACGCACCCCAGCCCAAAACTGAAAACTGCCAACAACGGGATTCAGTGAGATGGGGCTAAGTACGGGGGAGTGGAGGTATAGCTCTATGCATTCCTAACCTCGGCACTACGTGGAGGTGAGTGATCAGCTTCAAGCCCCGGCCGCTTCACCCTCGTGAAAACACGGATGGCTTCAAGAGACTGTCCGGACGCGGTACAGAAGAAAATAATTGATGAAGGCTGCCATCTTAGTTATCAACGTTTCTGAGGAACCTGCTCCTTCCATCTTCCGGGCAGAATGTCTAGCCTCACACACTAACCCTCTATGGAGCGGCTACTTTATGCGCTTTCCTCCCCGGAAGATGAAGGAACTTGCTCAGAAAGCTTCTCACATCCAGTCAGTGTTTATGGAGACACGCCTAAAACAGGCTGTGCCACAGGTTATAGGGCAGGTGCCGGGTCTCATCCCGGGTGACCTTATGTGAGGTTCGTGGCGGACGACGCGGCACTCTTCGGCTTTCCCTCTGCTTCACACATATTCATCACGGCAGCACGAGGTGTGTGACAGCTCTGACCAGGCAGCACCTTATCAGTCTGGTCCCTAAGTTTGTGGCTTCATCTCCGACCCGACACTTGGCTTCTTGTAGAGTGAGGACGCATTACAATCAAGGAATTTTACACAGACTTCGTAATCTCAACTAATTCAGAGTACAGTGAATTGCTACGGGCCGAACTTCCGACGTTCTAAGTCGTCCTTTCCCCGTCGTGTCCACCCAGTCTCCTATCCACTAAGTACAGGGGGATAAGGCTGCCTGAGCGTGAACCTGGCCACTCACCTCCACGTACAGGTAGGTCTGTACGGGCCGAAATGTTATAACTTTACCAGGCCTGGACTCGACTACATTTGGCAGGGCCCAGCTTGTGCTCCCCCAAGATTACCTTCTGATATGCGCCCGCCCGAAGCCCGAATGTAGCCTCGTCTACATGCACTCTGCCCTGACTGCCGTGCTATTCTCTCGCAGGCTCTGAGACACGCGTGCACATGGCAGATGCAAATGTTCATGTTAGCCCGACCGGCACTGAATTTACATGAATGGTGGCTTACATGCGATTTTCCGGTTTTTGTCGCAGACTAACTTCAAAGGGGGCTGATATCTGAGGCGTTCAAGAACGCCAGTTTTCTCCTTGGTACCTCATAAAGTAATTTAAATACTTCGTTTCTTGCTTGTACTCATCCGCCACTTTTCAGGGCGTGCCTCCCTGCGCTAGTTGTTAATTTTCTGTGTCGCGGGCACGAGATGGGGGCCGATACGAATAACATCTCTGCGGGGGGAAACAAAATGGAATGTTAAGGCCGGAAATGCCGTACGTAACGTGTTATTGCTGACACTTCAACCAGGCTCGAATCCAGGACGAACCTAAATATTACCTGTGCTACCTGGCTAGGGCCACTGCAGACACTTACGTGGAGTTACACTACTGCTCTAAACATATGCAGGTCTTCATGGCGTGTTGCTTAATGACGTACGGGGCATACGAAACCGACTTGTTCGCTGAATCCGTCAGCAGATATTACGGGGGAGAAGGGGCTTTTCATTAGAATGCATCAAACAATGGAGGTTCGGAACGGAGATAGTGGAAAGGTCCACCCTGAGATCGCTGGAAGATGGGGAGAATGATTTACGAGAGATGAAACTCTTTTTAATTTATGGAAGCAGATGGTCAATAATGGAGAAGAGGCCTGGGGTGGGGGGACCGTACAGAGGAGTAAGTAAGTAACAGGATAAGTTTTCACTGACTTTACAACAGAGCGTGGAGTTAAACACGTGGAGGGCCCAACACCTGCAAGCCACGGGAACAAAGCGTCCCTTTGAAATGTCTGCTAGCTTCCGTATTCAAGATCCTGCTAACCAGATTCATTATCATCACAGCATCACAATGCGATAATTTATTTCACTGCGTCACAGAACGTGAAGTGTGATGTTTCACTAGGTCATTTTCCAATCAGCCCTTTAAACCCTAATGGTAACTATATGTACCTACCAGCTGCTTTAACATTAAGAAACTCTGTGTTCTGCCGACAGAGTGTATTTGTGTATTTCGTACGATTTTTAGAATAAATAGCGACTATTTCCCCAAACAGCAATAACCAACCGGTTGGTCTCTGTCGTTTCCTGTGAGGTACGGACTGACTATATATATACAATATACATTGTTTGCAACAAATGCGTACTTCAGGTGATTAGTCAATGAGCAGTAAGGCAGACGATTGCAATTCACTTATAACAAAATCCACTCCGTTATGACGAAGCAACGAGATGCCAAGACGACGTTGCTACAACAGCGTCTGGATCCGAACACACGCAACTTATACTGACGGCGGCGGTTGCTGCTATGGTGAAAGCGAGTGCAAGTTCCGTCCATTCACAACTGCCGACGCCGATACTTCTACGCAATAAGTGCCAGCGTCGTCCTCCGCCCAGAACAATCGACCGATCGATAGAGCAGACTGGCTGGCCAGCACTCTCGGGTTCGCAGTCAACTGTCATCCGAACTTCAAAACACGCAATTATTTCTTTTTGTGGGGGTTTAGGTTCTCAAAGATGTGGTCACGCTTGCTAACTGCTTCTTGCTTGGCTTAATATTCGACCCTGAAAACAGAAGCGACATATTCCTCCGAAACTTCGGGTGCCTTCCAACGGGCTACATAGTCTTATGTCCCACAAGATACACCTCACTGATTGTCTAAAATCAAAAGCGATGGATATGACAGATAACGATGATATGAAATAGATACACTGGCCAGAACAGTCAGCATACCGCAGGAGATTCAAAGCCAGCACCTCTCGAATACCAGTCTTGAGAATTATTGGTATAACAATCCACTCAGTCAAAAGAAAGAGAGGTACAAGGAAACGATATTTAAATTTTCTTTAAATAATAAAAAAGTCCCCCAAAATATTTTGAATAAATGGCATAGGTTCTGGGCTAAAATCTGTTAAACTTCAAGTTGAGTTTCATGTAATACACAATACTATATTCTTCTGGCAGCATTTTGGTAAGATGACAGCTACAGTGTTTCCAACAGAACTCAGTATTTTCTGAGACAAAATGTGTGGACAGACACATCATCCTAATAATATACTGAATATACGCAATTTATTATGCATAAAACATGACAAAACAATGAATACAGTTCTGTTTGCCTTGATACTCAATGTACTCTGTCTAAAATATCTCTAAAGGTACATCATAACTTGAATAGGTGACCTTAAGGAACCAAAGTCCTGTGAATTTATCGTGGTCTCTGGTATGGTGACTTCGATGTCCATTGCGTATTGAAAACGGGATCTAGTGCCTTTATAACGATTCAACGATCTACTTCACAAAATGATGATGATGATGATGGTGCACTCTGAAAGATGACTTAGACACAGTACATGTTAACTGCTATGAAGTTTGCTAGTGAAACACGGTCTTGTACATCCAAGAGAAGTTGAAGACTAACTTGGCTACAGATCACAGCACGCAGTCTCTCAGCCCATTCTCATATCTGCATCAATGTAACAGCAGTATACTTCCTAACTTCTAAGGGAATAAGAATGTAAACTGTGAATTCCACAGTGTAGCGCACAAAATTCTCAGTTTATCATGCTTATTAATGATCCATTACTTGCTTACTAATGGAGCTGAGCCCATCTTGAGGAGAAGCCAAATCTGCAGCTACTCAAGAATTTCCCAGCATTCTATGGAACCTGAAGGTTCATTACCGTGTTCACAAGAGCCCTCCACTAGTCCCTATCCTGAGCCAGATGAATCCAATCTATAGCATCCCATCTTATCTCTCTAAGATCCATTTTAATATTGTCCACCCATTTAGGCCTTGGTCTTCCCAGTGGTCTCTTTCCTTCTGGCTTTCCCACCAATATCTTATATGCATTCCTCCTTGCCACCATTCATACTACATGTCCTGCCCATCTCACCCTCATTTACATGATCATTCTAATTATACTTGGAGAAGAGTACAAGTTATGAACCTCCTCATTATGTAGTTTTCTCCAACCTCCTGTCACTTCATCCCTCTTCGGTCCAAATATTCTCCTCAACACCGTTCTCAAACACCCTTAGTCTATGTAAAAGTAAAAAGTAAAGCTATCCCTGTACCAGGCCGTGAAGGCCCATAGGGTTGTGAGACACTGAGGGTCCTACACTATCTATACAATCGGCTCAAAGATTAATTCCTGGTATTCATTTCTGTTAGAGGCAGCAAGGAGAGCTGAGAACCTCAAATCCAGCTTTGACATACATAATTTGAATATAAACAAATGAAGTAATCAGTGATGTATGCCTAAAGTGCCATGCCAGCCACGCACACAGTTCCAGCTCGACATGAAGCTGCTCTTGTTACCTAACAACAGCTTTATACATTTAAATGCAAAACTGAACAACAAGCAGTTCATGGGAAGCACATACTTACACCTCAGAGGCTGGACACTGAACAAGCTCTAAGCATCCTTAAATAATGGGCACAGGCCACCCTAATTCTCCTCAAGAGAGTTAGGTTATGATTTGGTGGCAAAGCCTGACAGCCTAACAAAAGTGTGTTTTCTTAAGTACTTTTATACTGGATTTTATAAAGGTGTTCCACCCTGAATGTTATCTAGACAGAGCTGTTGGCACTGACATCATATGTGTAATGACTGGAGCCACCATCTTCTCCAAAATAAGCAGCAATGAAGTCAGAAATGAAGTTTTACAAAGATACCACAGAAATTAATACCCCTACCTGGAATCACAAGGTCACCAAAATCACAGACATGTGATAAGTCAGCATCAGCTCTAGGACACTTAGTTGGATCCATTTTATTTGGATGTAGTATGGCACCCTATTGAACAAAACAAGGATTAATTTGTAGACACTTACACGTGCATACGATAGAAAAATTTGGATGTGGTCCCATGCCAGAACACAACATTACTGTGACTCATTGAATGTCACAGTGTAGTGAACAGCACTCCTACCTCAAGTCCCCACATCAAATACTGGCCAGACGACCAATCATCCCGACAGAAACTGCTTGTGGGTCTCCTCAATCCTGGACAAACTTCGGAATGTACTTCCAAACCAAGCCATGTTGGCCTCACCCACATCCTTGCTAACAATACTCTGTATTGTTCCAACAATTCCCAAAATAAGGGTGTATATAGTATCTTTATTCATGGGCTCCAGAAAGAGAGGCATCTGCTACCAACCCCCTCAACCCTGGACTTTTGGGAAAAATCTATATTTGAGGGAACTACAAAATACTAATAATAAAAACTGAAACAATTTTCTATAAGTTAGTTTTCTAACCAGATTAAAAATTAATCTTAAATGGCTTAAATTTAAGTTCATGTGCAAAATTCTGTCAGCGGCCATGTCTTTAGTGCTCAGTGAGATAGTCTACTGTCAAATTTTGTCAATCACGCCTAACGCTGACATAAGATGCACTTTCTTCTACCTTCTGGGAAATGTTGGAAAGTATGTGCACTGTAGCCAGACTTCAAGTCAGAAACCCAGACACGTCACTTTCATTGCAATAAGGGTTCTACATGGCGTGCAGACTGACCCAGCCTATCCAGTGTGCAGCAGGTCCTGTTCCCCCCAAGCATGAAGCTGACCATTCACCTCCATCGAGTGATGAACTAAAGAATGCATGGCTCTGTACCTCCATTCCCCTACTGAACTTCAAGACATGGAGCTCAATTAAGCTACTGCACTACTGACAGACAACAAGCAGGAGCTGAGTCAGATGGTGAGGTTCACCTTACTGTTATTTCCAGCAGAGCACTGACAGACTGAGTTCATCTTGTGGGAGCCGTAGCACTTAGAGCAGTGCCCGTAATGTCGTGCAGCTTGGGGGAAGTCTACTAGCAATTTCTAGGAACATACTGCCTCCATCTTCAGGTTGAAGAGGAAGCCAAGCAATAAAGTAGCATTCTGCCTTAATTTGTTTACGGGCTATAGCTGTTTTTGGTGGAAGAATGCTGCCATGGACGATGGACAATTTTTCTTACTCCTGCCATTATATGTTTATGTTCTTATTTCTGTTATGTTAGAATTTTATGGAGATGAACTGGTTATGAAATATNCGCATCCCCCCCCCCCCAGAGCAATGCTTCTAAAATCAGGATATGGCTTATAAGCACTTTTAAAGAAAGAAACATCACTAGGATGTCTAGATCTGGTAGAGCTATGCACTTCATTGTTAAGAGCAAGAGATGAGGAAGTGAAAGTGGTGGTAAGGCAAGCATTCAGCGTGTGTGTGTGTTCGAGCTTCTTATAATGCCAGAAGTAAAAAACAATACTGAAAAGTAAACAATTATGTAACTGCATAAAATGTTTTATTCATTTCAAGACCATATGAATTGGGTGGGAGGGGACTTTTTTCAAGGGCTGCTTATAGTCAGGCAAAGATTATGGTTTCCTGGTGCCTTGAAACCAGTATTTTTACTTCTTTACACTTTGTTGGCTTTCTTGCTGTGTTGCTTGGTACTTCTGTTTGTTTGTGATTTTTCTACTCTACTTAATTTTGTTGTTGGGAGGTGATTCTTTTTAAGTGTCATTTTATCTTTATACAGCTTTTAATATGTTTCATTACAAATTTCCATATAACAACTTCTCTATCTCTTATCCTACAGTAATACTATTATAAAAGTCTTCCTTGAAGATGGAGGTCATATGTTCCTCTGAAATATTGGTAACAACCTACCAGACTAAACTAAGTCACACCCCAGATGACTTATCAGCCACTACCATGAAAACCTCAAATCAAACCACTGTGCCTCCCTTAAATGTCACATGTCATGGAACTGAAACTGCAGTTTGCCTACAAACTTATATTTAATCAGTTTAAGAAATCTTTGCTGATCACCCTAGAGTATCTGAGGCAAAAGAATGCTTTTTTAAAAAATAATTTTAGTTTTTGGTATTTTACATCATACTTTTTCATGTCTGACTATTTTTGTAATTTTGGAGGGGGGCAAAAGCCTATCCCCCCCCCCATCTACAGCCATGATCTTACTGTGTTAACACGATAATACCGGCTACATTAAACACCACCGAACATTGCATCGTGCTTCATAATCGGCAGGTCCTGAATTCAAATTTGCGCCTCAGGACCAGCTATCCTGACATTTCTTTACGGGTTTCCTTCGTCCCTACGGTCCCTACAGGCACATACTGGCATGGTATTTAAATTAGGCCACGACCACTCAATTCTCCGTCATTTCCAAACTCATCGTTCACTATCCTCCTTCCATTCGATGCTACGGAAAGGGTATATGTTCAGTCTATTTAATGATGTATCAGTAACTCAGACAGTACAGCCTTGAATACATGATTATTGAATAATGAACTGGAAACCGATGTGGAAGTAGGTAGTCGTGCGTTACTATCCCTCTAGTTGGCTGAAGGAGCTGAGAAAAGCCACGAAAAGCATTCAGAATAGCTGGTGTCGTGACCAAGATTTGAACCGGCCTCCTAAATGCACGTCAGAATCGTTACCCCTTCAGACACCATGCTCGGCTGGATAAATAAACCAAAAATGGTTATACTGACTATCTAGGGTGCAAGGTGTTCTATAATTACAGGATGATTCCCACATTTTCTTAAACTGTACATTGAACGTGCCAGGAAGACGCGGGAAAATGTATCTCTAAACCAAACATTCGCCCACAGGGTAAACACAACACTTATACACGGAAACAAATACCGGAAATGGCGAAGTCAGTTTATGGTCACCTGATAACTGCACTCACTTCGTTGAATGTTACTGTATACAGCTGGAAGTAATTTCCACACGAGACACTTTGAAGTTTCCCGAAACACACCTACAAAAGGTGCAACGAAAAACATATTCTACATAGTAGCCATCACAACGCATAACGTTAATGCACTTACTGTCACGAGAAAAAGAGTCTATTCTGGGTCTAATATTCAGAATCGACCTAATAATTTTGAATGGCTCATTGGATATCACCAAGAATTTGAGTCTGTTGAATCTATACCTATAGGCATCCACACTAGGTATGACATTTATGCACCAACATTTGCCAGCCTACTAATCGATGCAGTAGTTTCCTGCTGTAACGATCATACCGCCAGTAACATCGGCCTCAAATTCTCAAAATGCCTGCCACCGCGGAATAATTACTACAGATACGAGCTATGACTGTCCACGTACCAATTTTGCTATTTTCTTTTGTCCGCGTATCAATTCTGCTATTTTTTCTATTGTGCAAAATACTTGTAAATATCAATATTGCTTTGGGTTGCAGTAGTGCTAAGTGCCATCTATACAGTAAGTTTTACATTTCATGGTACTAATTCCGGCATCGTTAGCTGAGTTGTATACAAAAGCTGTACAGTCTGCTTTTACCGGTTCTCACGGTCTCTTAGCTTGCAGATTTCTTATATTTTTTCTTCTACCCTGAAGATGGAGGCGATACGTCCCTCCGAAACGTCGGTTAACACCACATATACACGGTGCCAAATCCCAGAAGACTGCTTTCTTCAAAAGCTGTACTATTACTCGGGATCACTCGATATTAATGAACTTCTGCACTTTCGCCATTTTCCGGTACTCTATAGAACACGGGGTTGTTACGTCGAGTGGAAAGAGCTAACCTCAATCACTACGTTCATTTAGAATACCATGGTCTCACAAAGCAAATTCGTATTTAGTGAATATACAATGATAGCCAATGCAATTATGAGCCCAAATATTCATTCATGGAGCCGTGCACATCTTAAGAAGATGCCAATTGTGCAGCTATTCAAGAACTTCAAAGAATTTTATGAAATCCGAAGGTTTATTACCGTGTTAATGAGAGCCCTACATTGGTCTCTATCCTGAGGTAGATAAATCACATCCATAACATCACATTCTATCTCTCTAAGATCCATTTTTAATATTTTCCACCCACCGATGTCTTGGTCTTCCCAGTGGTCTCTTTCCTTCTGGCTTTAGCACCAATATCCTATGTAGTCCTCTTTTCCCCCATTCATGCAACATGTCCTGCGCATCTCATCCTCCTTGACTTGATCACTTAAATTATACTTGGGGAAGAGTACAAATTATGAAGCTCCTCATTATGCAGTTTACTCCAACCTCTAGTCACTTCATCTCTTTGGTTGACATACTGTCCTCAACACCCTCAATCTATGTTCCTCCCTTAATATCAGAGACCAAGTTTCACACCCATACAGAGCCAGAGGCAAAATTATAGTTTTGTATGTTCTAATTTTTATGTTTTTGGACAGCAGATGAGAAGCAAAATGTTATGTACTGAATGGTAGCAAGCATTACCCGAGTTCAATCTCTTAATTTAATCCAGAATCAGGTTTTGATTTGTTATAGTCATTCCCAAATATCTGACCTCTGCCACATTTTCAAAACATCTGTTACCTATTGTTAAGTCATGATTTTGCCCTGCATTTTGGTTAGGAGACAGCAACATATACTTAGTTTTCTCTGTGTTTACTTCTAGGCCAACCTCCTTAATAACGTAAATTAAAGTCTGCGTGTTTTTTATGGTATCTACATTATCACCCAGTAGATTCACATCATCGGCATGGACCAGCAGCTGATGTGTCCCATTTAATTTCAGTCCCACCTGGCTTTCCTAATGGCATATTCTAAAGCAAAGTTGAAAAGGAGTGGCGATAAAGCATCTCTGTGTTTTAGACCATTCTTGATAGGAAAATCATCAGGAAAATGTTTACCTATTTGGACTTTACTATGTGTTTCATTTAAACACATTTTAATCAGCCTAACTAGTTTCATGGGTACCCCAAACACTATCACAATATTGTACAATACTTCCCTCCTAACTGAATCATGGGCTTTCTTCAAGTCTATGAATAACTGATGTACTGTCTCATTTTACTCCCATTTTTTCTCTAGCATCTGACATACACAAAATATCTGCGCAGTAGTTAATCTGTTACATTGAAACTGACATGGATAATCCCTAATAATTTCATCAATATATGGACTCGGGTAATGCTTGCTACCATTCATTCCAGAACCTTTTGTCTTCTCATCTGCTGTCCAAAAACATAAAAATTAGAATATATAAAACTATAATTTTTCTTGTGGTTCTGTGTGGGTGTGAAACCTGGTCTCTGAAATTAAGGGAGGAACACAGACTGAGGGTGTTTGAGAACAGGGTGTTGAGGAGAATATTTGGACCCAAGAGAGATGGAGTGACAGGAGGTTGGAGAAAACTGCATAATGAGGAGCTTCATAAATTGTACTCTTCTCCGAGTATAATTAGAATGATCAAGTCAAGAAGGATGAGATGGGCAAGGCATGTAGAACGAATGTGAGAGAGAAGGAATGCATGTAGGATATTGGTGGGAAAGCCAGAAGGAAGGAGACCATTGGGAAGATAAAGACATAGGGTGGACAATACTAAAAAGGATCTTTGAGAGATAGGATAGGATGGTATGGATTGGAATGATGTGGTTCAGGACAGGGACCAGTGGAGGGCTCTTGTGAACATGGTAATGAACCTTTGGGCTCCATAAAATGCTGGAATGTTCTTGAGTGTCTGCACAATTGGCGGCTTCTAAAGAGGTGCTCAGCTCCATGAGTGAGTGAGTGAGTGAATGAGTTACTGTTCATTGCAAGCTCATCAATTTTGTCTTTCAGATATTCCTGAGATGCCTGCTGTTTTCACATCTTATATTGTTCAGATTATTCCCACATAACTATTAAAAAATATCCCCATACTTTTTTTTACCATAACATGAATCTTCTTCTCTTGTATTCTAATGCTTTTCCTGTGTTCCTGTAACACTCTGCTGTCTCTCCATGACTCATTCTGAAGCTAACGCTAGTGAACACAAACTGGTGTGAGAGAATTTTGTTTGGGTCCTTGAAAACATGAGACCTCCTCACACGGCCAATCAGGTTCACAATGAACAGACAAGACAAATTGAGTTGAGTCCAAGTTTCTGAAAATCATTGTTGCCTGTGAGATGGGCAGGCAGACACATCCATATCCCACCATCTCTAGACATAGGGTATGGGGCTATGTCAGAGCACAACACAACAGATTCCGTCACACAGCCACACTATGAGTAACTGCATAGCAATATTGCTGTATGTTCAGAGACAGCAAGTACATATCAGTTTATGCACTGCAATCAGACACATAACTACAATTAGTCTAATATTTCTTAGCAATACAAGTAACAATACATTTGGATACAGTCCACATATGCAAATATAAGTAACGAAATTTGTTTCAATCAGACACATGTTCGCGTACAGTCAAGAACTTATTAGAAATTGTATTTCAGCATCTTGCTGCACTAGTCTAATCACCATGTGGAATAGGAAATAATTCATCTGTAAGTTAGAAGTTCCGAATCAGAACAACTGTCTTTAGTGATATTTTGAATTGCTTACTAGTATGTCTTCTACTGACTGCATGGAATTCTGAATTTTTCTGAGACACTTCCAAGTTCTTGATTAGAAATGTTCTTAGAGCCAATAAACACTTTCTAGCTATAAATAGTATATGGAGCCTCTTGAAGTGTTATCTGTTCTTTGCACCTGCCTGCCCTGAGTCTAGCAATAGCTCTCTGTTAAAGTAGCCTTTCTCCTGGGACCCTGGAGTTGAGCACGAAATCATGGGAAAAAAATGTGCACCTGTGTGTGTGTACATATATATATATATTTTCTTTCCACATTCACACTTATGTGTTTATATTCATAAAAATCACTAAAGCTATCCATTTCCTATATTTGGAGTTTACAACTTACATAAAACAAATAATATTTGCTTATTGCATGTTTTAATCATTAAAAACTTTCTATGATATTTCAGTATTTAAACAAGATATTTGACCATTTCAATGAACTTCATAACATAATAGCAATTAGTATTTAAATCAATTGGAAATAAGTGCACCAACATTGAAATAAATAGTTCATTGTAATCATATCTATGTATGGTTTCAAAATAATCAATTAGTCCTTAATCTAAAGAAGATGCATGTAATTAAATTTACTACGCCTATGACCATGGACTATCCATTACATGTGGAATATAACGATCAAGTTCTTAATATTGATAAAAGTGTTAATTTCTTGGGTGTGTGCCTTGACAGTGATCTCAAGTGGAAAAAATATTCGGATAATTTAATAAAAAAAATTAAGTACTGCAATTTTCATGCTTAGAAAATTGCAGCCTACGATGAGTGGATAAGTTTTACGTATGGTTTACTTTTCTCTTGTGCAGGCTCAACTTAATTACGGTATCATTTTTTGGGGCTCTTCTTCATCGATGAAAAGGATATTTACTGTACAAAAAAGAGCATTAAGAGTCTTGTTAAGATTACGGCCAAGGAGTTCATGTAGGGAAGGCTTTAAGACAACGGGCATACTTACTGTCCCCTGTTTATATATATATTCCATAGTCTTGTTTGTACTCAAAAATCCTGATATGTATCAGGTGAATAATGGCATACACAAATTAAGTACTAGGTGGCATAATAAACTACAGGTTTCCTTTGTGAGATTATCTTCCATTCAAAAGAGTGTGCATTTTTCATCCATTAGAATATTTAATAACTTGCCACACAATATATATTCCTTGAAAGACAATATTAATACTTTTAAACAAAGGCTAAAAGATTATCTTATTTTAAATGCATTTTATTCGGTAGATGAATACATGGCATACAGGCAAGCATGATACATTATTGTTGTCTTTCCAAGATTATGTATTATCTAGATTTGTTATATGACTGCTTTTTACTTTATTATTGTATTTTTCATTTTATAATTCTTGAATATTTTAATTGTTGAGACTAGATTGCATTTGGCAATGTCATTTTGTTGATGAATTCAATATCCGGTCCGGTTTCCGGACAATGGATCTGTGAAATTATGTATCTATGTATGTATGTATATTCATTCTTTTGTGGTAACTTGTATAGGAGGGTGCAGCAAATGAAGACAGGGGTGAATGGGTGATGGGAATTTGGTGCTTAGCAGCACTGTCATGGAGGGATACTGCATATGCTTGTTGTAAACGTTGCATAAGGCCAAATTTGTAGGTTGGAAGCATTGTAAAATTCTCCTTTTCTTTCTTCCATTTTTTTTTTATTTTGTCTTTTAGTTAGCTGTTATGATATTCTATTTTATTTTTTATTAA